AATTAATATCATCAACTTAATTATAACTCTTTTTTTTTTCAATTATCCCTATAATCATTCTTATTATTGAAATCTTAGAAAATCACTTTGTAATTAATTAATCAAAAAGTTTCCTCTTTGTTATAAGTTAAATCCAAAAATTTTGGTATTTTATATCTTGAAAAGACCATTATTTAAACATTCTACAATGTATTATTGTAACATGCTTCATTTATATTTAATATTTAAAATTAGTTCTTTTTTAAGATCTTCAATTTTATTTAATGAAAAGAATAAAAAACTAAATTTATGATAACTATTTTTATAATATTTATTTTTTTAGGGTTCCAGGTTAAAATCGTATTTGGCATCATTTAAAGATTAAAAATTTAAACCTTTTTTAATCTGCTACACATATTTTTCAAATTGTTATATTTTTAGAAGGAAATGAAGAAGATTAAACTAAGTTCAAGCACATTAATACTTAAATTATAAAACCTTTTTTCTAAAACCCTTAGTAAGAAGAACCATTATAATAAGAATTTTAGATTCCTTGGAAGAAAAGAAAAAATACAAGAAAAGCTAATGTGCTTATTATTTCGTTAATTTTATTATTCTATCATCAAAAAAATTATTCATTCTATGAAAAATATGCAAAAAATGAATTACTAATATCATTTTTATGGTATATATGGTTATGAAATTACTATAAACGTGTTGACTTAGTTTATTAGGATGAATAAATTACTTTTATTAAGAGGCTTAGATTTGATACAAAAATTGAAGTCACTGAATTATGTGAGGAAATGGATTTCAATGAAGAGATGGATGTTTAAATTTATTTTGTTTAAGTTAATTAAATTTAAAATAATATACCTTAAATCTATTAAGAAAGAATATCACTTTCAATTAGAGTATGATATTACAAATCAAATATAAAATAATTTGAAAATAAAACAGATGAAATGGAAACAAAATTTAAATGTAATTGAATGTCTTCAGTTCTAGTTGGATATTATAATATATTAAATAATGAAGTAAACACACTATTAGAATCTTAAATGAAGGACTAAGATACTTTATTAAGATGGTTCTCCTATATAATGGTTGTACCATTTTTTGTACTTAATAGAAAATGATTCTAATTGTAAAATTCCTTAAATATATACTATCTTTACATTTAAGTGAATTCTAAATAATAACTAATTTTTAATAATAAATTATTTCAACACACAATACTTATAAAAAAATTATCATAGATGATTAAATGTATTAATACTATCGTATAAATAAAATGCTAAATCATCATTGTGATTAATCATCAGAAATAGTAATTCCAAAGTAAATAATTCTTCAATAATTAATGAGATCAATCTAAATTAAAAAAAGGCAAATAATAATTTCCACTTTCACTTAGATATTCTTTTCCTAAAAACTCATTCAAATTAAAGGTTTTTTTGAATCCTTATCTAGTAATACTCTATAATTTTTTTTGAATTTGATATAGTAATTGATGATCATGGAATCACTTAAATTTTTAAATGTAAATTATTCTGTTAATATGATCAATCCAAAAATGCTATATTATTTTATAGATATTATCAATGAAGTAGTTTTATAAAGCGTAAACAGAAGTATCTCTTTAATTCGTAGCAAAATTTTGTTTAAAAGTGATACTTTATTTATGTGTTTAAGAGTAGTTCATGTAAATAACACATCAGAAGAAAAATAACAATTAGTTTTGGTATATAAAAGTCTAATATAATTGTTAAAGTAAATTCTAATAAAAATCTGGAAGCCAGAAGCTTTAACTTTATTCCAAAATAATTCATTCGATTTATATAATAGCTAGGGTGGCATAAGTTTACGGCTATTGACCATCAATAACTTTGGATTGTATAAAAGATAATGAAAAATTTTTGGACTATTGTTTATCAAAGCTTCAATCATTTTATTTTAAAGTTAAGATTGAGTTGAGATAAATTAATATTCTTTACTACATAAATTTTCAAAATGATTCTTATTTTTATATTTACAATTATAAGCAAAATAAAATAATAATTTCAATTAAT